CAAATTTGATTGTCTTCATGTTTTGTTTTTTGTCGTTATCACAAGAGAATGGAGTAGCTATGGCAATGCTGGTAGAATGTGTGTGTCACACCCTGGGCAGCAGGGCTGGGGGCGGCAGCACACTCGGGAGCAAGGAGGAAGACGACATCAAAGAACCTGAAGACTGAGCACATTTACTTTTCTGATTCAAATTACTCTGTTTGGAGTAGAGTAAACACAATTACCTTAACAACAGAGCTGGGAGGCTTTGAGGGTTTAACAGGACATTGTTTTCCTAGGGAGGGGGTAGGGCCCCCGAGGATCAGAGCCGGGGCCTGAAGAACCAGGTGCTTTGATTTGTTTTCACTTTCTTCTCAGAAATGCATCTGAGTAGTTACAGGGCATTTGACTGAGTTTCTTATAAAATTAACTTTGTTTATTTTCCTTATTTAAAATGGAATTAATGTTCGTTATAAAATAGAGAGGCCAAAAGAGAAGACCTGCAAAGTTCTGTCACCAAATCTCTTTTGACATTTGTTCCCCCAGCCAACTATTCCCCTACACAGATCTTATATCCATTTATAAATACAGTCGCGCGCCACTTAGCGACGGGGACACATTCTGAGAAATGCGTCATTAAGCGAGTTCATCGTTGTGCGAACATCATAGAGTGTACCTACACAAACCTAGGTGGTAGAGCCTACTGCACACCTAGGCCATATGGTACTAATCTTATGGGACCACCGTTGTCCACGTGGTCCGTCGTTGACGGAAACGTCGTTATGCAGCGAGTGACTGTACCCAACCCCCTCCCATGACAATAACATGTCATTCATTGTTTCATTGTTTGCTTTTTTTACTTAATATATTCTGGAGGGCTTCCACTCTCGGTCCCTATAGAATGCTTCATTCTTTCTACCTGGAGCATCGTATTCCATTAAATGGATGTTCCCTAGTTTATTTAATCTATCCTCTATTGATGGATATTTAGGAAGTTTCTAATCTTTTGCTATCACCAACAATGTGGCAATTAATATTCTTGTAGCTGTGGGATTTCGCAATTGTGAGAGTGTGCCTGGAGGATAAATAACTAGAATTGGAATTGCTAGGTCAGAAAGTATGAGCACGGGTGGTTTTGATTGAGATTGTATTGCCTTGTTTTCTATATCATACCAATGTGTGCTCCCCTCAGCCGTAGATGAGAGTGCCTGTACCCTCACATCCTTGATAACCAGAGTCACATCAAACTTCTGGATCTTTGCCAATCTGGGAGGTGGGAAAATAGTGCCTCAGTGTGCTTAATGTGTACCTCTAAGTAAGGATGAACATCTTTACCTAAGTTTAAAGAGCTCTTTATACTTCCTGTTCTGTGAACTGTATGTTCAGATCCTCTACCTATTTTTCTATTGGGTTGTTATTCTTTTTCTTATTGATTTGTTATAGCTCTTTATACATTAATAATGTTAATCTTTTTTTCTGGGATATGAATCACACATTTGCCAGTTTGCTGTTTGTATTTTATTTTGTTTAGTCCCCCCTCCATGCAGAAAGTTTTTATTTTTAAGTAGTGAAATATCCAGGTCTTTATCTTTTATGACTTAAACGTTTTATTTTATATTTAAAGAAACTTTTCCCAAAATAGGTTATTTTAAAAAATCCTTCCATGTTTTTATCTATTTGTCTATTAATTCATATTTGAAACACCTGGAATTTATTTTGGTGGAAGGTATAAGGTAAAAACCAGCCTTACTGATGTTTTCCACATCAACATCTGCTTGCCTCAACACCATTTTATTGAATAATACATCTTTTCATTAATGTTTTGAAAAATTACTATTATATGTTAAATTACCTCATGTATTTAGGTCTATTTCTGGACATTCTGTTTCATTCTATTGATCAGTTGTCTAGTCATGCACCAGTACCACTTTATTTTTAAAACTGTAGTTTCATTATGCATTTTAAAATCTGGTACAGCTTGTTCTTTCCTATTACTCTTTTTTCCCAAATTTTCATGACTATTCTTTCTTGCTAATGGAGCTTGTTTAGTTCCCCCACAAAAATAGTTAGCTCTGGGGCTGGCCTTGTGGTGTAGAGGTTAAGTTCTCACGTTCCACTTTGGCGGCCCAGGGTTCGCGGTTTCAGATCCCGAGCGTGGACCTACGCACCATGCTCAAGCCACGCTGTGGCCACATCCCACATACAAAATAGAGGAAGACGGGCACAGATGTTAGCTCAGGGCCAATCTTCCTCAGCAAAAAGAGAATGATTAACAACGGATGTTAGCTCAAGGCTAATCTTCCTCACACACATACGAAAAAACAGTTAACCTTTGTGTTGGAAACATATTAAGTTTACAGTCTGCCACAGGGAGAATTGAATTTTAGGATGTTAAGTCTTTATCCAAGAACATGGTATTTTTTGCTATTTCTTTCAAGTTGTCTTCTGTGTCTAGCAGCAGATTCTTTATTACTCCCTCCAATAAAGAAAATCCCTCCTAATGAAGAGTACTAGCAAGAGGATAGGCTCCCCAGCGAGTTCTTCAGACAAAGCAAGGTTTTGGCTTAACTGATACACATTTCCAATCTTTGAGACTTACCTTTCTCTTTATTTAAATATACACGGTCAGTGATTTTGCATCTGTGTGACCATATTAGTGACATTAAAAACATTTGCAAAATTATCCTGCATGACTTTTCCCTCTGGATATGATAAGAGGCCAGAGAGATGGTTTTCCCGCCTCTGGCGTTGTGTTGTTTCTCTCTTTCTCTTATTTTTATATGTAAATTTTACTTAACTTTTTAAACCAAATCTTTTATTTTGAGATAATCTTAGAGTCACAGAAAAGCTCCAAAGCTAGTACAGTGTTCCTGTGTTCCCTCCACCCAGTTTGCCCTGATGTTAATATTTTAAATAACTATGGGCATTTGTCCAGACTGAGAAATTAACATTGCTACGTTACTTTTAACTAGGCTCTAGGCTTTATTCAGGGCTCACTGGTTTTTCCATTCAGGTCATTTTTCTGTTCCAGGATCCAATCAGGAAACCACACTGCACTTAGTAGTGTTGCTGTTTGATTAACCCACAGAGGGATGCAGCAGCCTTGGTCTTTGTAGCCTTTGGGGTTAACCATGTAGGCTCTTGTCATATGGCTGCAGGAAAACCCTTATGACCACAGAGTCAGATCATTTGATCACATGATACAGCCTTTCTGCCTACATGTGCCTTCTTCTATTTGCACTGTTCCATTAATTTAACCTAAATGTACTGTACATGTGTGTGTAACGTAAAGACAAATCAATATTTCTGTAGGCCTTTGTAATGTTTCTCCTTCAGATGCTCTTGGTAAGATTGTCATACGTATTTTGATGAGACCATTGCTTGTTAAATCAACAAATGGGTTCTTTTTCATACTGTGCACATTTGCCGAATCTACAAAGATAAGCAGTATGGTTTGGTTCAGTGGTTAAAAGCATGAGGGCTTAAAAATCTGGGTTCAAACCTAGCTCAGATGCTTACCAGCTCTGTAATCTTGGGCAAGTTACTTCACATCTCTGAGCTTCGGTTTTGTCCTCTGTGGAATGGGATGATCAGAGATAAAGCATGCAGAGCCCTTAGTATAAGAGACATTGTGAATAAAAGGTAGTTTTTATATACTGGCCATCTCCCATCCTCCCTATTCTCAAATAAGCTTTATATCCAACACATCCTTCAGGACCACAGCTTGGAATTTAGCAACGTGATTTTCATGCTGGGAAGGGACAGGTCTGGGAAGAAGCTGCAGTAATAAGGGTTCTGTCAAGTACAGATCCCACACACTATGCCAGCCTCTCCTTTTTCCACGCATTGCTGGTTTATTCTGTATCCCGCGTGGTTTTCCCGAGTGTGCTGGGGGGAAGGATGGCATTGGCTCAGATACGCATGGAGAGTGGAGGAGTGGAGCAGGCAGAATCTCTCCCCTTCTCTCAGGGGGCTCCATGTGTGGCTGCAATGTTTGAGCGTCTGCCCGGGGCGGGGGCATTGCCAAGAGGCAGGGTGGCGGGGGATGGGGTGGAGCCCGCAGGCCTGATTCCGAGTGACTCTCTGGCCGGCAGTTCCTGGCTGTGGCTGTGGGGGCCCTTAGAGAGCTTCCGCGAAGGGTAACTTTGGGTCCTTCTGGATGCCACTTCCAGACTCTGCTGCCAAAGGGAAATTTTCTAGTTCAGCTGGGAGTGCTCAGAAAAGGCCAGAAAACAGGAGAGGAGGGCAGAGGTGAGCTCCTTGATCTGCTTTCCAGACCATCCTGAGCTAGAGAGAGAGAGACTAGCTCAGGGGTTTCTGGGAGATTTATTGTAATTAACATTGTTCAGTCAATGCTATTATCTCTGCAAAACTAGACACATTTTCAATATGGAAATAAGTATTCTTGGCTTTACATATAAAGGCCTTCCATCTCAGCTCACGTATTTCTTTACCTGGAGGTAATGCTAATGATTTCTTCTTTTTTAATTCTCATTTTTCCTATTGTGGTTATAAAATCCTGCAAAAAATATATATATATGTAGTATTATTTCAGATTCTGAATGGAAAATTCTTTATGAGGAAAATGGAACCTTAAGTTAAAAAGTTGCTCTCTTTTCTAATGATGTGTCCTTAATAATATTTGGAAATATCTCATAGGTAATACATGGCCTCCCTCAAGCCTATTGAGGAACAAAATAACCCCCAAACTCAGTAATAAATAATCCACATTCCTACAGCATTCTTGCAGATATACATGCTCTTCTCTTTCAGGGTTAGGGGCCCGAGAAGAGAAAAGGTTGATTTTTAGTCTATGTCCTTGTAGCATAGACTGACAGTTTTCTTCTTTGCCGTGGTGTGTTTAATATAGGGTCCTACTTTACATTTCTACCACTTCTCTGCAAAGCTGGTGTGTGGCTCTGTACCTCTTTGAATATGAATGTACATTATCCTTACAGTATTACAGAAAAGAAAGAAGTCTAATACATACATTTCTTGCACTGCTTTCTTTTTCTTCTTCCAGGAAAACCAGCTCAGCTATTAAGGGACCCTCTCCACACAGAGCAGAGCAAGAGAAGGCAGGTTTCAGAGCGAATAGCTGTTTACCATCAAAGCAAACGGGGTTCCACACAGACATGGTGTATTATACGCACAGACCAAAGTAACTGCTCCATGGTTTTACAGGTAATTTACTGTGCTCATTTAAATGCACGGGCACCTCTAGAATTCTCAGTGATCACATTACCTGCTTTTCTATTGTTTAAAAAAAGCCCAAATAATCAAATATAATTAAAAAAGTCAGCTATCTGGATCCTCCCCTCACGCCCCCTCCCAAATAGCCTGATGCTTCTATTGTATCAGCATCTGTGTATCAGAGAGGAGAGATTTGCTCCAGGTGGTAAATGCCAATTTGGTGAAGCCATATAATGAAAATTTACTAGCTTTTAGTTTATGAAAGTGTCTTTCTCTGCTCAGATTTAAAAAGCAGGAATTTTACTTAGAGTTATATATTTCTTGGGTTAATTTATCTTTTTATAAATATGTGAAATTATTAGTTCATTCTGTCTGTAGCACATGTGGACCCTGAAGCTTATGGCAGCGCTGTTATCTGCTGTGGGGATGCAAATGTGCTCTTTAGTGTGTTGTTCTTGGGGACTGGGGGATAAAGATGGAATACTCATCCGGCCCAGCTCTCCAGATGGGCTGAAGCGGCAGCACGGGGTTATGTGCCTCTCCACAGAGCGGGGTCAGAACTTGCTAATCCGCAGTAGGCTGTAGATAATGGGACACTTCAGGGAACAGCGGCCTCAGCTGTTCCCGCTCTATGCCCCTGTAGGATGGGCCGCTGGATATGGCCTGTCCAGGGACGTCCCTTCCTGCATACACTTGCCTCAGTGAACTGCCCCCCATGTTCACTGTGTGGAATGAAGTACAGTACCCAGGTACAGTGCCCGCCGTGGATAGTAAACATAGTCATATACGCTGCCCGCATATGTCAAATCCTGTTCTAAGCACTTTCTTTCTGTTAACTCGCTTAATCCTCTGTGATTCCAGAGCTCTGTGAGACAGGCTTGTCAGTATCCCCGATTTACAGACGAGGAACCTGAGGCCCAGAGTAGTTCCCGTGAGCATCATTCTCTGGCCCCATCCCAGCGCTGTTTCAGTGGATGCTCACTGATTCTTGGCGTTGACATTTGGTCTTGGTTTCGCCCCTTGGGACCTTATTCTTTAACTTATTCATTCATTCCTTCAGTCGACAAATACGCATTGAGAGATTCTAGGAGCCGGCACTGCGTTAGGTGCTGAGGATACAGCTGTGAACACAACAGGTGTCGCAGGGGCCCCGCGAAGCTCGCCGTCTGTTGGGAGAGACAGACGTTACACAGGTAGTTACAGTAGACACAGTGATGGGCGGGGTAGTGGCACTGCAGGAAAGCAGAGCGGGGGCTCTAATCTGGCGGTTTCCCGGGTGGAGTGGGAATCTGCCAGATGAGGGGAGAGAAACCTGCTCCAGCAAGGGGACTCCACGAGGGAGCAGGCAGGAGGTCTGTAAGAGAGAGAATGTGCCGCTGGAGGAGCTGAAACGCTGAGGTCGGGTCTGGAGGGTGGAGTTGAGGGGAGGGGGGGAGGCAGGCGGGGAAGAAGGTGAGGTTCACAAGCCGTTGCGAGTCTGTACTTTAAACTCAAGGAGAAGCCTTTAAAGGATAACCGAGGAAGAGATGTAACTGACGCACACCTGCAGAAATATCTGTCCGCTGCCCTGTGGGGATGTCCTGAGAGGAGGCGAGACTGGGCTGGGAGAGCAGTGGGGGTGTTGCCGCAGCCCCAGCCATGGGTACACTTCCTTTGTAAGCCACGGGCTGCTTACCAGCTCTCTCCTAGTCAGCAGACGCTCGGCGTGGTGAGATGCGGTGGAAGCGCCTTCATCCCACCACAGGCCGGGCGCCCAAACGTGCTCCATTCCTGCTGCTGGGTCAGACTCCTCTGCAGCTCTGGCAGCAGTGAGCTCAGTGGAGGAGAGTGAGGAGAAGCAGAGCCTGGAGACAAGGCCTTGGGATGTTGGATCACTGTTGGTCCATTCAGTCACATGTGTCAATTCAGTAAGCATGTTGGTACTCAAACTTTTGTCCAATTAACTGATAGCCACCATTTCTAGAGGGCCCACTAGGCACCATGATCTCATTTAGTCTTCGTCACGGCCCTCTGAAGCCAGAACTAACGTATTCCCCAGTTCAGGAAGAACAGCTTTCTAGTTCAGGAAGCTGAGACAAAGAGAGCTTAAGTGACTTGCCTAGGCCACGTAGCTAATAAGAGGAGAGGAGCCAGGATTCCACTGTATGAATGAATCCATGAGTGAGTGAGCAAAACCTACTGCCTCCTCTCCTTTGCCTCTGAGAACAGGGGAGAATCTGCCTGATTGTGAGCTTCCCACCAGCAGTGGATGGGCTCCATGGTCTTCGTTTAGATTAAGCAGCTGTGTGGGCTCACTCAGTCTGCCATCTGTGGCTTTGACCCTAAAATAGAGAAAGGAAAATGCAACCCCTGACCTTTCTTTGCTGTGGGGAGCCTGTTGCACTTGGTCAGCCAATTAAGACAAGTTTCTAATAAGAAGATAGTTTCTATAGGGAAAACAAATATGGAAAAAAGGCCATTCTCATTTTTAAGAACTTTAAGTTGAAGCACACATACACCCACAAAAGATAACAGTGTACTCAAAAGCAACCAGGATCATATTATAACTTTTGCTTGCCTTTATGGGCCCCTTCCTCTATTAAAAGGATATATAAAAATATATTCTACTAATATGGGGTACAAAGATGAATATACTCCAGGCTTCATTATTATATCTTCATATTATTATTTTCTTTTTATTTTAAAAGAAATTAACATGAAGACATTCTTGTGAGCCTCGAGGTACTATGCCTTTGTGCCTAATGGGTAAGTTGGTCCTGTTTCCAAATAAGTGACAAGTGAGAAAGAAATCAGAAGAGGAAGAGATTGTTTTGATCTGAACTATTGGCTCTAGGGGGTTCAGAGTTACCCAAAAAGATGACGCTAAGTGGTGAGTTTCCAGGACAAGGTGAAGATAGAAGGGGCAGCTGAATAAAGCCCAGAATGCAGTGAGAAGGAAGGGGGCAGGTGCACAGTGAGAGAGACTGGAGATTCCCTTTTGTCTGATGCCAGCTGCAGAGTTTGGGAGGAGATTGCTAAAAGGCACTGTGCGGGGTGGACAGAGACCAACGTGGGCCAGTATGGGTAGGGAAGGGCTCAGGGGGAAGGTGGGATCCTGGCCAGGACCCTGAGAGCCAGAGGGTAGAGTGGGGCAGCCGGGGGTAATGGCAGGTACAGGGGCAAGATGTGCAAGGCAGTCTGGAAAGGCCATTGGAGCGGGAGGGTGTGGTGATTCCAGGAAATGGATTATTCCCCCTTCATGGTAACTTCATTCTTGTGCTCCTTCCTGAATTGCAGAGCCTAAGTTCACAGATGCCCCTACAGCTAGAGTGCTGGATGTGAATTAGGGTCTACCAGTCAGACGCCTCTTGTGAGACTCGAATTCAGACCTGAGTGAAGTTGGGAGAAGCATGGAGTATGGCATAATTTTGCAAAGAAAAAGCCTTAATGCCAAAACCCAGTTCAAACCTGTGCTTGCATCATATCCACTGTGCAAATCACACAGCTGAGCCCAGAATCAAAGGGGTGGGGCAGGTCACTGCAAAGTTACCTGATGAAGGCCACCAATACAGGGAGGGGTGAAGAACTAGGGCCATGAAAGTAATCCAGCACAAGGAGTAACGTGATGGAATCCCCATGGTAAAGAGACCACTCCAGTAGCTGCATGGAGACTAGATTGCTGGGGGGGCAAGAGTGGACTGAGAGAGCCGGCAGGAGGCTGTGGCCACAGTCCAGGGTGGAAGTGAGGTTGGCTTGGAGGAGGGTAGTGGCAATGGAGAGGGGAGAATGGCTTGAGTTCTGGAAATATTTTGAAGGTGGAGCTGGCAGGACCTGCTGATGGCTTAGATGTATGATGTGAGGGCTAGAAAGGAATCAAAGATGACTTCTAGGTTTCTGGCCTGAGCAAGTGGATGTCACTTCCCTTGAGGCCCCAGTAGTCCAAGACGTGATGGGTTGCATGATGGTGATTACATGAGCGTGTTCCCTTGGTGATAATTCATGGAGCTATACTTGCTGTGCATTTATTTGTGTGGCTTTCGTATGCATGTTAGCTCTCATTTTAAAAACTGGGAAAAAATGATAGAAAGATGCTCCATAAACACTAGAGTCAACCTCACTATTTCCTCTCCCTCATTCTCTGGCTCACGGACGCTTCAAGTGTCTGTTGAAGTTCTTCTTTCTCTCCATCTCCTTGCTGAGTTCAGACCTCTTGCCTGGACAATTGCAATAGAGCTGACTTGTCCTACTGCCTCTGGTCCCCTGCCCATCCTCACCCTGGGGCAGAAAAATCTTTGCAAAATACAAATACAGTCATGGCTCTTTCCTGCCAAAAATTACTTCCCCATAGAATAAAGGTCAAACTCTAACATTTATGATGAAAACCCTTTCCGGGCAGGCTTCCACCTGTCTGTACCTCATCTTCCACCGCTCTCTCCTCTCATTTGCATTACAGCCGTGTGCGGTTGACTCAACGCCCTGGGGCTTGTGCACGGCCGTTCCTCTACCTGGACCACCCTTCGGCCGGCCGGAGTGGGCCTGGAGAAGACTCCACTCAATGACTCGCCCCTCTGTGGGGCTTCCCAGGGTTCCCAGGCTGAGCCTCACCCCCTCCTGGTGCCGGTACTTGGCCTCTCCCTTCCTTCCCTGTGTTGTGACAAGCATTCTGTATTGTAATTATTTTTAAGGCAAAGTTTATTTTCTTTTTCCTATTAAAGAGACCTGAATAAAGTGAGAGAACTAGCCATTTGGATATGACCTATGCAAAAAAGTAATAGAAAGAAGGGAAAAGCATCCCAAATCTCACCATTTAAAAATCTTTCCTTTTATTCTTTTCTCTTTTTTTCCTTTTTCTCTTTTTATTATTCTTTCCTTTCAGTCTTTTTTCAATGTTTATTTTAAAAATATAGTTAGAAACATACAATATAAATTCTGCCTCGTACTTCTTCATGTAATATTATAACAATGA